AAATGAATATATAATTTGCTTACGCGAATCTCTCATATTTCTCGGGGCGAGAAAATCTAGAAATGTCATACACACAAATATACCGATGAATGTTTAACGATATATTGAGTTAAAGGTGCCTCTAATTCGAAGCCTCTAGTAAATAATTCCACGCAATACCAAATCGATCTGCTAATGTAACAAGCTGAAAATACAACACGACATTTGCTAGAATTGGATAGAGTTTCTGGTTGCTCTTTATCAAGCTACTTTGACAGACAGCAATTTGTACGGACCTCGTTAATTCCGAAGAACCTAGATTGGCTTCACTTCTGGAATGTGACCCACTTTACCGTTTACGTTGATGAAAATTATATTATTCTGGAAATTAAATTAAAATTTTAGAATTTCTGAGTTCAGCGATTTTACAGATATTTATAGATGTAGCGATTTTTTAATTCGTCTTGTAGATGACTATAGCGTGAGCATATAACGGTCGAGTCAGACCATAGTCGGTGACGTGGAAAAATCGAATCTGCATCGGAAATAAAGGCAGATCCGTCCTCGATAAATATCGTTCGCTTCGTTTGTCTTTTATCCTGTACATCCTTCTTATTTGTATGTATTCCAGACACTCTTTTATGCATTGTAGAATTAACTCGTGAATTCACTTCCTGTCAAATTGCAAAAGATTGCTCGGGAACTTATCACGTCGCTTTCGATGATTTAACAATCCCTCCGCTAATTTCATGCGCGCACACTCGGTGTCTGTGTATTACCTCTTGCATATATTCCGCTTAGCTACACTAGTTCTGACATCGCTTGGCTAAGAATAATAAATAGATTCTTCTTTTTCGCCTGCTCTCCTCCTCTCTGCCGTTGTTTCCTGCTGTCCTGATTTAGTGCCCCGTTAAATCATCGATGGCGACCGTGCCGTCCTCGAGCGCGGAAAAGTGTCCCGTGGGATCTGCGAGAATGCGAAATTCTGCGCGACGTTAATCATCCGCGACGATCGGACGGGCGCCGTCGATGTGCATACATCGATACATACCGATCCGAAAGTTTCTCTGAACTTCTGCCAGGGAAAATAAAAAAAAAGAAAGAAACCGAACCGGGGAAAATATCGCGCAGTTTTCTCGGACGGCATTTCGACCTGCCGAAATCTCGAGAACTAATATCGACGCGACGAGCTCTCGATTTTGCCGTCTACGAAATAATGTAAGTTGCGCGCATTCATTTTTTTTCCATAACTAGTGCCTTTACTACGAATCGATTTTGGTCGAGTAAAGCGGCGCTTTGCGCTAATACAACGAATTCAATTTACCTTTCGCGCTTTTCGAGATATGAGACGTGAGACACCACTATTTATATTTCGTATAGTGTACTCTACTCGTCATTCGAATACTTTTTAATCTCTTGCATCGACCTCAAGAGCACTATAATTAAGAGGAAAACGGATAGAATATACGAGTGCATCGGAGGCTGCGCTTGGTTCGATGACCTCCGAGGCTCGCGAGTTTCCGCGCCAGCAACGATTGTCAAAAATTTGCTTCACGGCTAGTCGGGGGATATCCGGTTACGGGAGCCCTTCCAGAAATATCCCGCGAGCGAGAGAGAAACGATAAGGCAGTGCAGGGTGGTCGATTTCCCGTGCGTGCGTGCCGATGGGGACTATGCGAGAAAAACGGGCCGCACCCGCGCGCGTGCGATGTCGTCGGGGCCAACCCTTGCGACAAGGAAGGTCCAAAACTTCTAAACACCCTTGGCAAGGGGTCCGTCCTCCGGTTATATTTGGTAACTGTCTCTTCTCGAGCACACATGTCGCATTGGCGTAGCCATACGTGAACGGACACGCTCGTATGGTCAATTGCTTCGTCTGGAGCTCCGGTCATCAAAGCGACAAAGAGAGAAAGAGGCTTAACTGGCCCCACGGTCGAGTCATGCATAGCATATGGCTTTGGGATAATATATAGAGATGATATGTGTAACAGTATGAGAAAGAAAAAAAAACGTTACCCTGTAGCCGCTGCCTGTTGACAACGAACCACACGACGCGACGAACGTTACGCAAATGGACTGAATATGTGGATTCAAGTATGTAATTATTTCCAATGAGAGATGCCGTTAAATTCCTCATAATGGCGTCAAAGTACGTTCTTGGTACAGAGCCTCGAGACGCGTCGTGATTTACTCGAGATTACACTGAAAAAATAATACTTGAGGATTTATTCGTAGGATATAAGAAAAGTATATTTCTATGAAATGTAAACTATTTCTGCGAATATAAACTTTATATCCCTCACAAATAAATTTTCAAGTATTTTGATCTGAGTGCACGTTGAAGACAGGTTTTCTCGGACTCCTCGTTAGTTCAAAATACCTCAAAAATTAGTCCGAGACAGGTTGAAGGACCGCAGCGCGGCTTGAGAGCGACCCCTTGACCATTTCTGGTCACCCATATACCAGCGACGTCGCGCAGTCGCTCTAGGGACCATTTTGCTTTTATCTCCGGACCTCCTCGTTCCTCTTTTCACGGTGGCGTCAAGGGGGACCGAAGAGTGAGCGCGGACTGAGGGGAGGAGACGATAAACTCCCACGAAGAGCTGGACCGGGCAACGGGAGCGCGGCCGAAACCATTGAACCTCCTCTTCCTCCTCTCGTCGTTGCCTTGGTCGTCGTCTTCGTCGTCGTCTTGGCCGACGTCGTCTTGGCCGACGTCGTCGTCGTCGTCGTCGTCGTCGTCGTCGTTCGGTGTGAGGCACATGTGCACGTCGCCGAGTCGCCAGACAGATCTTTTTTGTCCCGAAGTAAAAATAATCTTTAAAACCCCGAACAGGATGCGTTGTTAGGGCAGGGATCGTGGGTAGGGGCGACGAGAGGGGGAGAGAAGGAGGATAACGCGCGGGCATCGTCACCAAGACGGTCCACGCAGCGGTTTTTTCACCCTTTGGACGTTTGGCTCGACTCCCTGTAACGGGTGTCCGAAATTAACGTCCTGCGACATGGAGGGTCCCTCCTTGAGCTCGCGCTCGCTCTTCGTTACGGAAGATGCGTTCGGCCGCATCTGTCGGATGTACGGCATGCATAGACGATCGTCGGGGCGAGGTCGAGAGACCTCCGGAGGATGCCTCTCCGATGGCCGAAAACGACGTGAAATCATCGAATGCGAGAAGAGCGTGCCTCCGTACTTTCGATCGACAGACGTGCGTTACGACGTAATCGATCGGGACGAGGCCAAGGGAGAATCCGCAGCGACGTTTGTCGAACACTCGCCAAAGAACTAGCCCAGAGGACGTGTCATCTAACAACCGCGTGTCCCATTGTGCTATCGCAGATCACCCAGCGCTCGTATCGGCGACACACTTCGCCGGGCGCGTGACGAGTACATTATCACAAGCTGTTGGTATTGTTTGACTTAACTAGACGAACGCGTGCCAATATATGGGGGACACGTGTCCTCGCGCACGACGGAACCGCGCGTCGAACTACTTTGACTCCGAAAAACGTAATATCTTATGGGACGTCGCGAGTGATTCCTCCGCGGCGGGTGGAATGGATTTGCGCGGGATTTGCCCCGCGAAATTGAATTTCTTGTTTTCCGGACCAGAGATTGATTTTCGGATTTTTCATCCATCGGCAATTTGAACGACACGCGAACAGTCTTTCGTAAAAATCACTGTCGCAAATTCAATTACGCATCGATTACGGTGTTATTTAAACACGTACGCGACGTACGAATAATTTCCAATCAGCTATTGTTAACGCCCCGCGAAGATTCTTGCAAAATTTCGATTCTCATTACGGAATCACACGTCGCACGAATCGGGCATAAACGGGAAGAAGCTGAAACTTTCAGAACCATCTCTGACGTCGGAAATCAGGCATTTATAATCTCCCGCGGAACGACTTCCGGTCTCGATCCCTCTTCGATTCACCCATTTTCTCGCGGGTCCGCGGAAGAGGTGCCCTTCTAAGCGGCGGGCAACCGTTCGCGCGCTGAGGAAGAATCGCAGAAACACGCGGGACCCGAGACAGAGAGCGCGGAAAAATTCTATGAACTTGCGGTCGTCTAGAATACAGTGGCCTCCGGTAATGAATGTGGGAGTTTCACACGGGTCAACGGATCGCGCTGCCTTTCCTAGGGATACGTGCGAGGTGCACTTGGAGTGCACACACATACTCTCTCTCCCAGTCAGAGCAAGACAAGTCAAAGCGAGCATCCTAGCGTGTGTGCCCATAATAAACCGCTTGATAACTTATGCATTCCGAACGGGCGATATTATCTATCTAGCGCTGCTGTAAATAAGATATACAAACTGAATGCGGCAAATATAAATGCGCGCGGTCCTCTCATCGCGACGATGCCCCGTCGCGAAAGGCGTTCGCGAAATTGCGCGTCGCAAACTTTCCTCGCGCCGCCCGCGATCCAGTTCGTTAATTCGTCCGGTGCGAATGTACCGTGAGAGCTGTTCTATCGCTCACACTTACGTGATTCGCGCTAACTCGGTGCGCGCGTACCGTACGGTTCGGATCGGTATTTATACGTCGCTCGATCTCGTGATATATCGTGCGTGTATCGCGTGTTACTTGGCGAAATTGAAAAATTTGACACACCATGATTCGGGTTCTCTCTCCCTTTCCCTCTCCCCCTCTCTCTCTCTATCTCTCTCTATCTATCTCTCCCTCTCCTTCTCTCTTTGGTTCTGTCACTATAAAAAGTCTCCGACCTCTTTTCGCCTGAGGAGGAAGGAATAGCAGGAATATATATCTCCTCAAATTATAATGGTGTAAAACTGAAGCACCAGTGACTCTCGTCTGGCCTTCCAAGATAGAACCGAACGCGTCGCTATTTTTATATTCCGCCGAGATTTTAACAAGAGTCTCCCAAATTGCATTTGTCAGTGGATAGCTTAAAACGACACATCACGTTAAATACAGGATTTATAGGGCTAATAAAGAAACAAAAAGAAGAAATATCGATCGGTCGCTCCCGTACAGCCACGTTTCTTGTCCTTTTCCAGATTGGTCGATCGAGATATGTCGGACAGGCCCATGGAACACTGTCCAGGAGACCGGGCTCGCTCACGGCCCCCACACTAGATAATTTTTCGGGGATTGTTAAAAGTCACTTCGGAGCCGCCTCCCCGAGGAACAGGCCGAGGACAGGCCACGTCTGGAGCCTGGGAAACATTTTCGGCGTCCTTTTCTCCCTCGCTGCTCCTCTGCGTCGCTCAACTTGAGGAAAGTAGGAAAGAGGCCGACCTACCCCGGCGGAAAATTAAAGGGCGCATTAGATCGCGTGGTCCGTCACTGTGGACCGAAAATGTGTGTGTGTAAGAGAGAGAGAGAGAGAGAGAGAGAGAGATACGTTATATACGTAATACGTAAGATACACGGATGCGCATACGTACTGGCGCGAGCTATACACGCTTCCTTTGAAACTTCGAACTTCCTATCGCGACCACCACTTCTCTTTGTAGACGGATGAACGTCTCGGATCCAGGATAATGCGAGACTCTCCGCCACGTTCATCTCTTTCCTTTCTATCCCCCTCTATATCTCTTTCTCTTTTCTCTCGATTCCCTCGTCCTCTCTTTCTCCTTCGCTCCCATTCTCTTTCTCTTTTTCTCTCTCTCCCTCTTCCTCTCTCTCGTCTCTTGTCATCCGCCTGTCCCTATTCCGTTCCTTACCCCGTTCGCCTGGCCGCAGGATCGAGATCCTCAGACGAATAGTCCCGGCGTGGAAAGATCCGCGTCGCGGATATCGATCCCACACAGTAGAATGAGGGGGTTTTAGCCGCGGAATAATTAATGTGAGAGAGCAGGTACTCCTGTGTGCTCCTCCGCACACTGCTTTCTCCGCGATTCAACGCTACGTGTTTACGGCGAGTTCGAGGGACGACGAGCGCGCATCGCTCCCAGTAAGATCAGTCCGTAAATGTGGTCGCGATCGATGCATTTAGCACCGTCGCGTCGCGTCCCGACGCGCAACGACGCTTTTTTAATCACGGCACCATCGCGCCCGTAATGAGGTGGCAACGCGCGCGCGAGAACTAAAGCGAAAGCGAAACGGTTTCGGGCGATATTAATTTGACGGCCTTAGAAAGTACCTGAATTTATCAACATGTCGCATTATTTACTTGTATCCGTGTTTTTCACACTCATCTCACGCTCGTGTCTCAATGGACGTAGGAAGTACGTCGGTAGTTCTAGCAATGGTTTAATTGCAATCTCAGAGTAATTGAACGCAATGAACGCACGAATAGACTTATTAATGCGTATTATAGCAAAAGTCCTAGTGTCCATGAAACTTCTCGCAATCGGTAAAAGTAACTTGAAACTATTTGTCATGCGCGACAAAATTTTGCGCCAACGTAATGAATGCGGCAACGATCAGCAACGAGAATTTGGCGTTGCCCCAAACAACATTAATACGTTTGGAAATTACCGCGGATAATTTAAACGCTTGGTTAGCATTAATCGCGTCGGCACCGTGAAAGCCGCACGTTAAGACTTTGTTACAAAACTTTTTTACCATTCACGTTGACGTATATGTGTATGTATATGTATATATAAAATCACGATATATTTGTCAAATTTCCAAATCGACGTGAAACATCAAAAGAGTTTCACGTTATTTGGGAATTAATTATTAATTAACGATACATCAGTTGATATACGAGATAACTGCAGAGAAATACAAGTGTATATAACAAAGTATTAGTCACTTCAGCTGAAAATTCGATAAAAACGTCAGTTCAACGGACGTTTGACACTTTTTCCCCTACATACAACCCGCACGCGGGTCCTCTTCTACCGGATGCAGGACCGTTGACTCTCGCTCGTCTGTTGGAACGCGCCGGAAAATCGTGTTCGCCGCGTTCTCGCGCCGAAGGAAGGGTTGCGTTTTGGAAAAAGCGTGCCTTTCTCCCTCCACCCGCCGCGGCGGAGGTGCCCGCCAGACAAGAAGCCAGTCTCTCTCTCTCTTTCTTCCTCTCTCTCTCTCTCTCTCTCTCTCTCTCTCCTCGTGGATATCTACACGTCGCGACGAGGACGGCTACGTCGAGGCATCGGAGTGTCGGTGAGCGAGAGGAAAGCTGGGAGGGAGAGAAGCGGATCGGAGAGCCCGACGATGGACGAGGAGAGACGAGCACGTGGATTTGTGTAAGTGACTCCGTATGTGTACATACGTTCTACAGAGCGAGCGCGCGAGTGGGAGGGAGAAAGAGAACCGGAGCAAAGAGCGGGGCACGGGAGGGTGTAGGAAAGCAGCGCGGCGAAGGGAGAGAAGGCAAAGGAGGGAGAGAGAGAGAGAGAGAGAGAGAGAGAGAGAGAGAGAGAGAAAGAGGAACCGAGAAGGAGAGAGAGAGACAGAGTGAGAGAGGGAGAGAGTTGCCCCCACCACGGGGGTGAAAACTACCCCGAGAGCGCGTGGGGTGTCCGGCCTCGGCGCCGAGGCGAACCGAGCGCCTCCGAAGTGAGCGCAGTGCCCGACACACACCAGGTCCCGCACGGCACGACTAGAGGCGCGCACAGTCCGGCACAGTCCACTCGGCGATACGACCCATGCTGGACCGTCGTCGCTCTGGTCCACGCCGGCATCAGGCATCCAACACCCGCGCCGTCAGGCCGCATCAGACGACAACAACAGTCCGCCGAGGCCGCATACGTCGTCGACGACGCGATGTCGCATGTCGACGTCACGTTACCGTGATCGCGCGTGGTCCAGCGACCGTGGGTGCCCCACGTTGACAGCTGATAATTAAAAATAGAGAAACGGAAGCGTGAGAAAGAGGAAAGAAGAGAGAAAGAGAGAGGAAGACAACGAGACAGAGAGGAAGAGAGAGAGAGAGAGAGAGAGAGAGAGAAAGAGAAACAAAGAGAGAGAGGGAGAAAGACGTTGAAGGTATCGTGGATACCGCCAGACGACGAGCGTCTCGGTGCTCCGGTTCATCGAACTCGCGTGAAACATCGCGCCGCGAATCTGCGGGACACTCGCGGCGCGACGACGCTTTTCGGACGCTTGTTTGTATTGCCCCCCTATTCTTTCCCTCGTTACCGTCGTCGGCAGCTCAAGGTGAGGCAGCAGTGCGAAACGAGTGGTCAACGGGGAACGTTTCGAATCGTGGGTTCTCTCGCGCCGGGAACCGAGTGACTACTGCTACTTGTGAACTCTGTTGACCGCGGCGAGGAAGACCGCTCCGTTCGCGAGGTGTGACGAAGCGCACCTCTCTGGTGTGCCTCGCCGCGCGTCGGTACATCGGTTCGCGGAGGTGTCGCAGGTAGATCGGCCGGCGGCGAGTCGACGGCGGGACTACTGTCAATCGCGAAGGTGCCACCGTTCCCGGCGGACGGGCCCGCAAACACCGTCCCGCACCTGTGCGCGCGGACTGCTCCGGTCAGTTAATCGCTCGCTCGCTCGTTCACTCACTCAGTCAGTCAATTAGTCCGTCTGTCTGTCTAATTACTGATCGCTGATCGCTCGTCGACTCGCGGTGCCGTATGTCGTGCGATTTTCTCGCGGTGGTGAACGCGCCGCGGTCGAGGAATGCGACCGACGAGGAACATGAAGACCGACATTAGTTGACGAACAAGTGTCCAGATTGCGGTGATCAAGTGCAACTCCTCAGACGCGTCGGATAGCGCGGCCGAAGGAAGCGCGAACAAGAGTCGCGTCAGAGGACAGGACACACGCAGTGTCCCCGTGAGAGGAAAGGAGAGAAGAGGGCAAGTGTCACGACAGCCGGGAAATCGGATGGACTCTCACGCGGGGGGTGAAAACGCGCGGCCGAGGTGAGAGGGAGGAGGGCGGAAGCGTGACGACGACCGTGATCGGATATTTTGTCCAGTTGTTCTGCTGCCGACGTGCGCCCGTCGCTTCCTCCTTCCTCATCTCGTCCCCGCGAATGTGATCCAGGAGCCCGGAAGACGACGCTCGGTTCTTGCTTCTCGCCAACGATACAACAACAACAACAACAACATTAACAACTGCAATTGCAACAACAATCCCCATCCGTCCCGAACAGCCGGAGCTGAGACTCGTTCTCCAGGAAACAGTGCGACGCGACGAGGACCGGAGATCGCGAACGCCACCATGAGGATCAAAATGCCCGCGGTCAGGATCGCGCAAGGTGAGTGACGACAAAAAGTCGTATTCTCGCAGGTCCTCGCGCTCGTCCGTCGGCCGACACGACAGCTCCGGCTCCGCATCACTCTTGTGTTTACGTTTCGCAATAGCTCCGAAAGCAAAGCTTCGTTAAGGATGTTATGGAAGAGAGGCGAAAGAAAGGCTCCTCGACACGTCCGGAATAATCATCGGTCACTTCGCGAATTGTTTTGAATTCAATTATAACAACGCGAAACGCTCGCCGCTGCCGACGATTGCGAATGTGTCAAGATGATTAAACGTACACTAAATGTGTGATTTCTCTCTCTCTCTTTCTTTCTCTCTCTCTCTCTCTCTCTCTCTCTCTCTCTCTCTCTCTCTCTCTCTCTCTCTCTCTCTTGCTCTCATCGCACTGCGAATACGCGCGGAAAATCATGTGACGATAATTTACCGTGCTTATGAACGTGCGTTTATTGTCTCAGGCGATTAAGCGGAGCGACGCAGCGAGTTATTAAAATCATCAAGTTGTATCTGTTTTACGGTGACTTCCCACTTCTTATTCTTGTCACCGTTGCTTTTTATCATCTAATCGCGTGATTAGATACAATATTTGATATCGCACTTGTGACATTCTTATCACGAAGTCTCCTTAAATTTCGAAGCGTGCGCGAGATGAGATTAAAACGCCGATATTCATTAAAACTTCATCATTCCGCCGACAAATGCATATTGATTCGATCAACGATCTTGTTAACATACGTGTGTATATGTGTATGTACATGCTAATTAACTTTAAATCTACCTCTGCTTGTTTGTTTCTTTCCAATCTTTTTTTCTTATTTTCTGCTCTACGAATTAGTACCATGAGAAACAGAATCGAAGGAGACGAGTACTCCGAGGTAATTCGCATAAAATCCATCGATAAACAATATCGACCTGGCGACAAAAGCTCCGTTAGATCGATACTGCTTTAAAATTCCAACGAATCCGAATATTCAAAACAGAAACACTCGTCTGTCTCACATTCGTCTGTCTGCGAGGCATGTCTCTTGTGGCGAGAAAGTCACGCGTACTATTTTATACACATTTCGCGCGCCGACTGTTCGGAGAAAAATTTCAACAATTATCGCGCGTATAGCGTACAAAGGAAATCCTCGAATAGTCTCATCTCGGGTCGACACTCGCACGGCATCCTACACTCTTCACATATGACGAACTGATTTGTTGGCTTCTCTTTACAGAATTTCGGTCCTTTCCACGAAATTTATTCAGTGCGTGTCAATGCACTGACGAGACAGCATCGTTAATTAGGGATACAATCGCTCATAGATCCGATCGATTTGTCGTCGCGATTGAGACAACGATTTCAAGTTTTCCTCGGGAGAACAGGTCAAAAGCAATCGCTCTCGCTCGGCTGTTAACCGCCGTCGACAAATCCGTGCCATTTGTAACGAGGAACTCTCGGCGCTCATCGGCGGCCCGCAAATCCTTCCATGGCGATCCGATCGCGGATCGCCGTAAATCGTTTTCAATCGAGTCACGCAAGTCCGGTACGCTCCACCTCGATCTTAATCATTTTATATCCGCCCCAATTCCGTCGGCGTCGCGCCGCGTTGAAATGAGACAAACAAAAAAGTGGAGCAAAGATACGCAAGAAAAGACAACGGCGCGCGGAATCCTGGCTCGAGGTGTCTGCATTTCTCGCGATTAATTCTCTTGCGAACGACGCTCGCGAGGAAAAGAGATTCAACGCGGTGGTCTCATAATACAAGTTTTCCACACCGATCTGGCAGTATGGTCGCGATTCGGTAATTAACTCTTCGCTTCCCTCGGCGAACTCACGTCCCGATGAAGAGGGCAACCTGTCGATGAGGTGAGCGCGCCGCCGCTCCTCGTGGTGGCGTAACGAAAAAAGAGTGAAAAGGATCGGCGGTCGCGTGGCCGACGGAGGGAAGGTAAAAAAGCTACGAACGGCGCGAGAAAGTTAAGTGCAAGAGAGCGAAGAATGAGCCGAGGGTAGGGGGGAGGAAAAGAGAGAGAGAGAGAGAGAGAGAATGTATGTGTGTGTGTATGTGTGAGTGAATGAACCAGGAGCAAAGGGAGAGGTCGAACGAGAGCGAAAGAGGGAAAAGAGGGATGGAAGGCCAACGTCTTCGGGTAACTCGTCGTCGGCTGAATTTTTAATTAGTTCGCGACAGCCCCCACCAGGCGAAGCGAGTGGAGACGGCGAAGGTGGTGGAAAAGGAGATAGAGAGAAGAAGGAGATGGAGGTGGCGGCGGCGGGGGAGGTGGGGGAGGAGAAGAAGAAGGTGGTAGCGTTGCGGAGGACGGGGTGGGCTAGGAAGGGCGGCATTGTCATGCGCGCGTTTTTCAGAGACTTTTCCATCCCCGCGGCTGCTACCCTCCGTCGACACCACCCGTTCCCGCGACGCCCGTGAAGCACCCCCTCGCCCCCACGGAGTAGCAGCAGCAGCGGCGGCGGCGGCGGCGGCGGCGGCGGCGGCGGCGGCGGCGGCGGCAGCGGCGGCGGCGGTAGCGACGCCGGCGACGGCGGCTCCGTTTTCTTAATTACAACTGCGATATTCTTTAGTTCGCGCGATGACGCCGCCGCGAAAAGATACCGGAATATTTCTCGACGCCGATTACCCTCGCGTCACCTGATTATTCCCGCCCCCGTTGACTCCGCGTCACGGGGTGCGTCGCGATCGATGGGTCGATGGACCATGCGGATCCGCGAGTGACGGGCGACGATGCGCGCTTCCACGCGGCTGTTCCAAGAGGCGCCTCCGAGCCCAAAAGAGCGTGATTGATCGATCGCTGTGATTACAGAGAGAGAGAGAGAGAGAGAGAGAGAGAGAGAGAGAGAGGGAGAGAGAGAGAGAGAGAGAGAGAGGGGAGAAAACATGACAATGTGGGTAACGTCGCGAATCCGCGAGTTCGCATACATGCCACCCTGAGACGGAATGAGCGAGAGGCGACAGTGCCAGTGCCGGAAGCAGGAGGTGTCTCCCCTTAATCCCATCACGACACGCACCTCTGGCAAAATTTTAACCTCGATTTCTCTTTGATTCATGCAATCGAATTGTCGCGACACCTGCTTTTCTCTCTCTCTCTCTCTTTCTTTGCGGTTACGAAAAAAAGGCATTTAACCCTCGAACAATCGATGATTGACTAACGACAGGATCGATG